GTTTCATCGGTTATATATAGCACTCTATAGCATATACATATAAAACAGAACCTACTCTGGAGAAAACTGATCTGTAACAAAGCAATGTCTTCGAAAAGAAACTTGACTGTGTTAAGGTATTTCCATACTCACGAATTTATGGGTTCAAAATAGAAAAACTGCATTTGTTTTCAATGAATATAGTTAAAATTAATTAATGTATAGATTGCCATATTTTTTTAAGACGTAAGAAATACATAAACAAGAAGCATATGTCAGCATTAAAAAATTCGTACATTCTAGTAAACAGTATTTTAAAAATTATGTAAAAACTGGTTCAAATACATAATTCTAATGCTGAAAGTTCCAAAATAACTGTTACTTTATAAATATATGTTTGAATTGTGAATATGAGCGAAACCAATTTACATTAGAAGTACAATTTAGAAAATGCCTGAATGAGGATACATCAGCAGGAGTTACTGTCCTTATCAACCTTTTTTTTTTAAAAATTAAATAATTGATTAAATAAGGAAAATATTCAATTTTTTAACTCTTTTATTTTACAATATTTTTCATTACACCCATTGAAAAACATTCTTTTGAAAGATATTTTTCTATTGGGTATTAATTTAAATTAATTACAGTTTTTGCTAAAACCTATGACATCACAGGAGGGTGGAATTTCCTTAAAGAACTGTTAGCGAATTTGAATAAAACAAATACACACCAGTTTCATATTTCACTAGAAAAAGAAGTTAATGGTAATCTAACAACAAAGCTTTATGATAAACCTGATGACTTTAACTTTTCAATCGTCAACTTCAGTTACTTATGCAGCAATATATCCCTATCACCTGCATATGGGGTGCATATCTCTCAATTGATTTGATACGCAAGAGCATGATCTACGTATGAACAATTTCTAAAACGATGTAGGTTATTGACGAACAAGTTGATGACACAAGAATATCAACAATCTCGTTTTAAGTCCTCATTTCGTAAGTTCTATGGTCGATACAATGACCTTGTCAGCAAATACAATCTATCATTAAGTCATATGGTGATTGACGTTTTCATACTAATTGTTAGGCCATTATTTACACATTGATTTGTCGACTGATTTTTCCGTTATTTACCAATCATGACAAGGAGCACACGGCTGGTGTGACCGATCGGCAGGGGTTGCTCACTCATCCATGGCACCTGGCCCACCTCTGATGTTTTTGGAGGTCCGTGTTTGCTCTGCTCCCGATTTGTATTCTTTAATGGACTTTGAGCTTGTATATTGTTCGTTATCTCCATATTTCATGCATACAATTCTTTAATCAGACCTGGTTCTTAATTTACGCATTATGTCAACGTAAAGATCCAAAATCATTTCGCTTGCTTCGGAGTCAACCTGAGTTCCATTGCAAGTACAGTCTTACTTGCTGATAATTCATAATATGCGGATATACGGTATTAGGACGAGGAATTAGATCTACAATTTTTGTTTTCAATGTGAAAATAGGGGAAATGCTCAGAAAATCTCTCCTGAATTTTAACAATTCCATTTAAATGAGGAAAACAATTGAATTAAAGCAGGTTACCTCCAATCATAATCAGCATTTCTTTTTTTTCTTTTTTTTTTTATAACAACGATTTTTTCAACTCAATATTTTGATTAATACGAGTGTCGACAAAAACATGCCATTTTCAAAAGTGCATCCAAATTATGCGCAAATATTGACATTTTTTCTTGAGTAAAGTATTATTCGTTAACTTATCTGTAAACATTTCGGCTAGACAAAGTGTTGAAAAAAGCATTCGTACAAAATGTGACTGTAGTGGTAATTTATTTACAATAAAAGAATTGGGATATATATGCATATTTAAAAAATTAACCCATTTAAGATACTACACACAATACCTTCAATGGGAATTTTTCAGGTTTCTTAATTTTGGTTTATAGTAAACCCCATAAACATTCACTAGGTGATATTTATCTTCATTTCCATCACTTCTGTGCTTGTATTAAAATAAGTGGAAGCTAATTATATAATTCGAATTCAATGACAAAATGCATGCAATTTAGTACGTTGTATTGATTATAAAAATTTGCAAATTATGACAACTGAATATTCCTTTTAAGATAATTAATATTCCAAAAAGATTATGACATTTGAGCTAACGGAAGGGTGAAAAAAATCTTTTAAAAATACAACCAATACAACAGTTTTTTACTACTTTCTGGAATGAGGCTTGCATATACAGTCAATCTAAGATACATTGACCAATTCAGAGTATAAAACATGAAAAAAAAAAGTTTCATATGGCAAAATAAACATCATAATTCTCTAAAGGACATACATATGTATCAGTGAACTTGAAAACAAAGAATTGTCCACAAATCTGGTATCGTTAACTTTTTACAACAATTTCAAGATACCATTGATTTTAAGCTAATGTTACCGAAATTAATGCTTGATCAAGCCTTATTATTTTTTTTTAATAAAGCTGAATTTGACCAATTTTTCGTTTCTGATGTTCAGTAAAGAACGCTAAAGTATGATTTACGAAGTCTCGCTTGAATCCGAATTTAATTTAAATTTTCGGGAAAAATATAGTTACGGAAGTTAATTGTTACGGAAGTTAATTCCTAGCAATAAAAGTTAAAATTCTCTTCAATAGTTAAAATCAAAGTTTGTTTTAGGATATTAAACAAACGTATGAAGCATTTTGCTCCCAAAATAATAAAAAAATTTATACCTTCAATGCAAAAACTTTCCTGAATTACCGTTACGGAAGTTAAATTTTTAAGAGAGACATTTTTTTTTTTAATTTAATTTTGTTATGTCGAAAATGTAATCGTCTAAAATAGCTAACTCGCAACTAGAATCGATGATATTAGGTTCCGTGGTCACTTTCAGATAAGTTTCAGTTCTTTTTGAAATTTGCACTCTATGCGTGAAATTTAAAACAAAACTATTACGGAAGTTAATCGATTTTAAGCGACATGCTATGATTTCGCATGAAAGGAGATTAATACGTTTCTTTGCATGAAGTGGTTTGATTTCTTTTTATATAGGATAAAAAACTTTTTAACATTCATTGCAATCTATTTTGAACGATTTTACGACTGAAAATTTCATCTTGAAATTTGTAAATAAATGAAGCGACATGAGGATTTGCAGTGGAATACGTTTTACAACATTACATTATGTTCATATCAAAACTTTAACTGCTTATAAATCGGTAAATATTTACAAAACCAGGTGTGTATGTTAAGTCTTAGAGTTGAAATCGACCTTTAAAATAGTTAAGATATTACAACGATAAAATTTGAAAGCGAAATAAAAAAATTCTTAATTGGTCATGTTTTTGTAGACTGATAACGTTACAGACCACGGCGCCAAATTCGCACTTTTAAAACATGTGTACTGAGCATGTTAATTTAAATCTGAAAAAGTGCTCTCAGTTGCCATCCACTTGTATTTTTTTGGCTTTTCCTATTATTGCTTAACTTAAAAAAGGCATTCATTACTGGCAAAATTGGTCGATCAACACGAAAGCTCGAACTTAATCTGTCACCAATATCAAGAGACATACCAAAAACAAACCATAATATTATCTACAAGTATAGCGACCAAGTCCAGTAAACAGTGAATAACTAGAATGTTTTAAAGTCTAAGACCGATGAAGGTTGTGAAAATGTGCCATTCAGCAACGAAACGTGACCTGTAAGTCAACAATACCAAGAGACATACGAGAAATTGTATGTAAATCTTTCTGTACAAGTACGGCAAAAATCCGGAAAGCTTCTCATGACAGAGAAGCATTACTATATGCCGCGGTAATTTCATGGCGGAGCATAAGAGGAAAGAAGTTGTATTAATTCCACTGAGTTTAGAGAGAAATTTTTGCAGAAGAAATACATAAATGCAGGTTATTACTTTTCTGCAATTTTGCAATCATTAGGGGACGATTATTTGACTGAAAAGGGGGGAGGGTGCAGATTTTGGATACAAATAAGCTGTTCTTCAAAATGTTGAAATGAATAATCCGCCCTCCACTGGAAAGAAATTAAATCATCTGACTTTCTCTCTACCCTCCTAGTTTTTCTTTGCGAACTTATTTCATAATAATCTGACACTGATTATATTTGACATAAATATACCATATATATCCTATGAAATATGATTAATGAAGAATAAATAATAATAAAGAATTTATAATTTGATTGGACAAACTCTTCCCAGAATCAAATGGTCATCCCCTTATATTCTATACATTACAAAGAAATCGAACATTTTATTTAAAAAAAATACTAGTTCATGAGTGGTAATTATCAATGCTGGTGATTCCTCTGTACTTTCATAATACTGATTATCCAAGATGGTTTTTAAAGTTCAGATTTTTATATCTACTAGATGGAAGCATCAGTTTATAGTCATAATATTTATATAATGTATTGCAATCCAAAAATCATGGTTCTTGAAAATTCAGGAATACATGTAAACAACTCAGAAATGGAAAACAAAAGTACAAATTCATTTGTAGTATAGTTAATATTTACAAAAAAATATACAATATTTGCGAAAAAGGTTAAATATACACGAGAAACGGAAACATTTCTTCGCTATAAATTTAAAACCTGCTTTATGTTCTCTTTTGTCTACATTGTACATATATAATTTTTAAAAAATGCTATCTCTTCTCTTTCCACTTGTATAATAAGTTTTGTTAATGTATGTTAAGTGGGTTTTTTTCTTTTTTTTCTAATCTCAAAGAAAGGATTTTGATATTTTAAATAAACAAATTACATTTCAAACACATGTAATACTATCTGTATGAAGGAAAAAATGTGTTTAACATTCATCAAATTATATCTATGATGACTTTTTACGAAAACTGCGGCGTCCTCCCTTGGCTCTGTACTTTACTTTAATCTATACTTTACATCTACTTTACCTTACTCTGTACTTTACTTTGTACTCTAAATAGCATTAATTGTTGGAAATTTCATCATTTCACAGCAGCTATTCAACCGATTTTAAGGCATAGTCAAGTTCATCCCAAAACTGCTCAATCAGCTCAGTAGTTTCTGGCCACCTTATACTCACAATGGACCACCATATATATCGCAAGTCTTTTGGCATTCTTTTTATGGCAATATCGTCTTTGATTATCACTATGATGGATTGTTTTCGATCATTATGGAAGGAATGAGTCACCACCATCTGAACAGCATATGAATTCCAACCATTGTCGAGAAAGTTTTCAGTGACAACAAACACAACTTTCCTACTTTTGTTTACAAATCTTAATAGTTCGTCAGCTTTAGATATTCCAGGAATGAAGTCTTTATCTGGAAAACTTATTTGAAAACCTTTCTTTGTAAGTGTTTGATATAATATCGTGCTTACAATTCTATAGTCATCTTCAGCATAGGATATAAAAGCATCAAACTGAAAGTCCCCACTCTCGACGGAATATATACCTTTCCACCTACTACGTAAGTTCAGAATAATATAGTCTACATGTACACGATATTTTTTCACAAGGAAAACGACAGTGATTGCAGAGATTAAAATTACTAATAAAGAAAAAGAAAGGCCTAACCATGTCTCAGTCTGACAGTTTTTCTCAAATTCTTCAAACGCTTTTTCCTGTAGTAGTCCTAACACTGTTAAATTATCTTCACTGCATACAGTTTCTTTGAGGTCTCCAAACAAGTGCTGAATTTCCTTCATCCTTCTGAGTGATTGAACATGTAGGCAATCACAAATTATAGGATTACCCTGAACGAGAATTTTTGAACTTCTTAAATGTTTAAGGATGATTAAATCTGCCTCTGTTAGAGATGCAATTTTGTTATAACTCATGTTCAGCAGTTTTACATTCTGTACATATTTCAGGGTAACTGGGAAGGATGGGAAAATATTACCACCTAAGTTCAGAGACAATAAGGATGTTTGATATTTTAATAAAGAGGGTGGAAGGTTGTGTAAATTACTGCTTTGCAGATCTAATTCTTCGAGTTTTTCAAGATTATAGAATATGCTTTCTAATCCATCGAAATTTAACTTTATATTTCCTGCAATAATTTTCCTTAATTTCGTTGCTCTTTCGAATATATGAGAGTATACCGTAGGACATGTGTTGTCGGTGATATCAAGAACTTCTAAATTGGGTGTATCAAGTTCAAAAATGTATCTTATAGGAAAATTTGTGTGATATAAATTAAGCTCTCGCAAATTTTTAGCAGATACATTTATGCGTAATAGAGATGGGTCATTAATTTCAATATCATGGACATAGTTTTTGCTATAATTTATATCCTGCAACTCATCAGAAATAGGAATTATTAACGTTACACTTCTTTTCAATCTATATTGCATTTGAATTGACGTATTGTAGAAACCCATTACTCCGATGCATAAGTTGTTGTTGAAACTAACATCGAGGGATTTTAGTTTTGGAAAATGTTGAAGTAAGTCCATCCCCATCTGAAAGTCAAACACTTGTATATTATTTCTGGCAATATTGAGCAATTCAATACACTTTCCAAAATTAGTTCCAAGAGGATTTTCAACAATGCCTGAAATGCGGTCATTGATGAGAAACACATGCTTGACACAGATGCTGAAAAGGTATCTGGAGTTACTTTTATTCAAATAGAAAGCTTTTGGAAATATGTAAGGAAAATTGTCATTGGCAACAATTTTATCCATTGTTCGATTTTGCAAGCATTTCAAACTTCTCATAACTACATTCATGTCACACAATCCCCCAAAGTGCATTTCTACACCCTGTAGGTATGGAAAAGAACAAAATATCTCTTCACTTATGTCGCAAAGCACATATGTTTTGAAATACATTGCCAGATATTGAATAGGAGATTCTGATAATCCTCTAAAGCTATTGTTGTGTATGTGGAAATGGGTTTTCGAAAATAATTTCAATTCCCTCAACTTTTTCAAACGTTTGAAAGATCCCGTGAATCTAAAGCTGTCAAACACATCAATGTGTAATATTTCCAAAGATAAAAGGCTAGATAATTCGTCATCAGGATAACTTGTAAATGCATTACCATTAACGGCCAAAATTCTCAATTTCCTAAGGTTAGACAATGAATTAACTTCAAAAGAGAAATTTGTAAGACTGCAAGATGAAATGTTGAGAACACACAAGTTTTGAAGTTGTTTAAAAGAATCTTTTTGTATGAATTTCAGCTTGTTATTGTTAAAATACAGAGCTGTTACCTTGCTCATAATTAAATGGATACCTTTGAATGTCTTTGTAGATATCGAAGTAAAATTATTGAAAGAGAGGTCAACTATAAGCGTTTTGTTTTCTAATTTGTCTGGGAATTCATGAGGTATCTTTTCTAAGTTAAGCCGACTACAATTCCATAACGAGCCTTGATTGCAACATTCATCTTTGTAAGATACGACTCTGCACTTCCTCTCCACTGTAAATTCTACAACTAGAAGTAAATAATGCTTGAAATTAAAAATTTTAATTTTTGCAGATTAGTACGTCCATGTTTCGAGTAATAAATGAAAATACTCACTATAAGCAGTATACATAAACAATATGTAGCAGGAAGTTCTTGTCACCGTCATGATGTTGTGTGGCGCAACTTTCAATTAAATAATAAAATATCTGAAATGTTTTGATCAACAAAAATTATGAAGACATCTCTTCATGAGACAAATTATAAAACATGTTCTTAATTTAAAAAAATAAACATAAAACATGAAATTTATACAAAAAAGCTGTGCCAATTTTTATTTTTAGAATATATCTTCACCAAGACTTATTTAAAGAGTGAAACTATTGATACAATCATCAAAACAGTAAACATTAATGATGGTACGGGATTTTTCTAAGTGATAAAAATGTCTCCAACCTTAGTTTAATCTCATGCAAACACATGAACATTCTGTGTTAATCCGACCATTTTATCTAGAAATTGAAATGAAAAACAGAATTAGAATAGGTAACATTTATTTAAGTATGAAATGAAAACGCTAAGATACAATATCAAGGAAGTTTCCCATATTGGAAAAGGAAACACTTTCCAAAGATCGCTCATTGTAATTTCGTTCTTACATATTAATTAATTTAGTACGTAGTATAAAAAGGGTATTTTTTTTTATCTATTAATGCTGTTTAAAGGAAACATTTAAAATTAATTATTGTCAGCATTGTTATCCTGTGTTTTGATTCCGTATTTAAATGGTTTTTCATGAGCAACTTCCTCTAAAAATCATACATTGGCCATGATCTTTGATAACATGCATCAAGGCAAACCCTGAAGGGATTATCTACAGGTACAATAAAATAATTCTTAATTATATATTACTATTTAATGAACGGTAGTTGATACTTATTAACACACTCGAAGGATGTGACCGGTCGACAGGGGATGCTTACTTCTCCAAGACACCTGATCCCACCTCTGATGTTTTTATAGAGGTCCATGTTTGCTCTGCTCCCGATTTGTATTGATTTAAATGGACTCTTGAGCTTGATTACTGTTCGTTATCTTGATATTTAATTATTGCTAATTTATTGATTCATCACTTGCATATTTATTTTATGCTAAATCTTGAAGAAAATAAAGGGTTCAAAAGAATTATGTTCTATTCAAATCTAAAGATAATCTTTTAGGTACTACCGCTTGGAGGGGATACAGTTTGCAAGAAAATACTGTTCTACTTTGAAAGACCTAAGATACAACGACAGCGTATATTCCACCATGCAGATTGATTAACTAAACATGAGGTACCGGAAGAAATGGGAAACTAAAATTGCTTAGCAAAGAAAAAAGAAACATGTTTACTAAAAGATCTTTACACATGAACTATAATGTTGATAAAAATAATTAAAAAAAATTGAATTAAATAATAATTAACATAATTTGTTTCGTGAATCCATTTTTTACAAGATTAGATAGTCTCCTTCCAGGAGAAAATCTTTTCTACACAAGAAAAGCTATCTATAAGATTCCTTTCTTTTCATGAAGAAGGTGCAAGGAATTGAATTATAGAAATGCAAAAGAATATATATTGACGAAACATCTTGAGGAAATTTTCTTAAAGAAAATGTGCTATAATCAATTAATTTGTGGGGAAACTTTCTCGTTTTTCCTATCATTTATGTGGGAAGGCATGTAAGAAAAAGGAAATTGAAAAAAGATTCTTATTAAGTTAAACATTGACATTCATAAAATAGCGTAGATTTTTAATTAAAATCAACACAATTTAATTGAGGAAATGCTTTTTAATTAGAGATATAGAACGAAAATTATTATTTATCTATCATGTTTCTTGTACAATATTCTAATTTCTCATCCTCAATTGAAGAAAGCCCAATTTTCCTGATCTGAGTACTAAACGCATGTTGGCAAAGTCCGTTAACAATAACTAATAGTATGATCTATGAAAATTTACATGATATGTTTTTGAAACTATTAATATTTATTAAGCAAATTATTTGCACGGTATTGTTCGCATTTGCAGGGGTTTTTATATAGACAAAACCTTATTGAAGTTTAAAGTGGCATAATGAGTCAAAACCATGTGTTTCTTTTAAGAAAATTGTATCACAAAACAAAAGATTTCTGTGAAATATAAATATAGAGAAGTTTTGACAACTCAACTGCACTGTAAAGCAAGAAAAAACTGTAAAATATAAGTGCCGGAAAAACAAATGTTGTATCTATCGCTTTGTTTTTATCGTCAATGTCAACAATGTCTAGGTCACGCGTCCTTTATTTTTAGCCTGAAAGTTGTAAACAACATTGAATTGAGGCAAGCAGAAGTAAGGAATAAGTTATGATCATCTTTTTTGAAGATTGTATCAAAATTCTCAGTCATCCGACATTTATATCTATGAAATTGAAACCATGGTAAATTCCTCAACTTTTCAGCGCATGCGTACAATAAAGAGGAAGAAGTGAAGCAATATTTTTGTGATAGGTTATACAACGATTTTTTTTAACTTTTATTTTTCTCCATTAAATTAGATTTTTTAGGTTCTGAAACCTGTAATTTTCTGAAACCTAATATCTTCAAGAACTGAACAAAATTTGCAAGTATCATGCAAAAATTCTACTGTTGTCAATTTTCCCGTTTGTCCGTCACAGTGTCACTTTAAAAATATATTTTTTTCCCTAATCATACATAAATATTAAATTTAATTATCTATCGAGATGATAGATTATCATATCGAAATAATTGTCGTTTCGAATTTTGATTTAGATCTTCTTTTAGCTGAGAATAAAGCTGTTTCACAGCTTTTTTTTTATATTTTGAGCAATATCAGGGTCGGAGAATGGATGATCCAGTTTGATACAATTGTGTCAAACGCCTTTCCTATACTAAAGTACAGCAGTCATTAATCGATGTGTTTACAGTATTTGTGCATTGCATAAAGGATTGCATTGTCTGGGATTAGCAGCTGCATCTGCCAGAATGGAATTTTGGAGAGGATGTTCAGAAAACCGGACTTTGGTGTTCAGAATCTGCTAGGGATAGCCATTCGTTTGATGTTTGTTCCATTGCTTATATAACATTGGTTTTAACTCTGTCAGATTGTCTAGTGGGTTTAATTTACTGCATTGTCTTATAATAATTTAAATATAGTAAGCTGGATTAAATCTATATGTCATTGATTTTTATTGTCATTTTTCTATTATTTATGTGTATAGATGCTTCTGTTGATGGTTCTAAATAGAATGTGTTGTT